TAGAGGTAGGATGACCTAGGTCTTCCCTATGCAGACGGAGGACTTCCCAGCCCATTGGCTTAGTAGACTATAATCCACCAGTTGAGCCATATTTAGACATTGGGCCTAAAGTGAGACTTCTCAGGCGCTTGGGCCTAAGGTGAGACTCCTCGGGTCCTTAGGCCTATCTTGAGGTTGGGCTTCAACCTTGACCTTGGACAGTAACGGTCTTCGGAGTACACGTGTCTTTATTCTCTCGAGCCATGTGTCGCCTAATAATGTATATTTTTTTTCCATATCAGAAACAAATAAGCATATTGACTATGGGTCCACGATATGGGGCCTGAGGCCTGGACCAAACTATATGATGCAAATAATTTAGTGAATAGTGATGTCCGTTTACTTTTTTTAATCAACTTGCATTTGTTTGAAGAAAATTTCTAAGAATTATTATTATTATAGTTATTATCTTCAATTATATAGGAACTATAACAAGTTCAACTTCTGCACACTTTATAGATAAGTGTTACAAATGAAATTGTCTTGAAATTTGCTGCTATAAAAAAGTTAAAGTTTCATATTCATTTGGCAATTAATAAAAGCTAAACAGTATGCCAATAATCAAACAAATTATAATAAACATACCAGATCATAATAGAAAAAAATTAAGAAGCAAGTCGTTACAGAGCTATAACTACTAACTCCACGATTTTATTATGGATGATTTTATTATGGAGTTATCGGATGGTTCGGCTTATGGAGTCATCCATAATTATCCACAAAATTTTAATAATGTATTTCTAAATATAAAAGGTTATACGTGTTTTTTTTTTTGTTCTTTTCTACTCTTTGTTCCGAAAATCGAGTAAATTTGGCGATAATTAATTCGGGGGGCAACATCTTCAATAGAGATTCCCCGCTCGTGATATACTGATATAGCTTTTACTTTCCACACATTAACAAAATTTTACTAAAATATTCTCAACATTATATATAGTCAAAATATTCCGAACATTATCAGATGATTCTGCTAAAATGAGGAAATCTTTTACACTTATGTGATTCTCATTTTTCTAACATTTATTATCATGGAAATTTTTCATAACTTTAATCTATAATGTATTTTTTTAAAAAAAATTATTTAAATAATAGAATTTGAAATGGGATATTGCCCCTATTTGAATATTGACGGATTGATGTAAAATTAGTTATTCACTACAAGAAAATAATGAAATTCCAACGGAAATATATTCTAATAGAATTCTAGTAATTTCAATGGATATTTTAATGCTATTATTTCCGTTGGAATAATTCCAACGGAAATTCCAACAAAAATATTCCGTTGAAATTAGTTTTACCATTGAAATTTTTGTTGGATTTTGACGATTTCAATGGTGGTGAAAATAAAAATTCCAACGGAAATTCCTACGGCTATATGGAAATAAATATTCCGTTGGAATGTATTTTTCATTGAAATTTCAGATGAAATTTGATGATTCCAACGACTATATTTCCAACGGGCTTTCACCGTAGAAATTTCCGTTGGAATAATTCCAACGGAAGCTATACCATTGAAATATCCGTAGGAATTTCCATTGAAATATATTATCATAGGATTTTCCGTTAGAATATAACAATTTTTTTGTACTGATTGAACCTCATTCAGAAAATTAACCCATCAAATATACTACTTAACTTGTGTTAGTAAATAATTTATGTAATTAATTTTTGAGCTTAAAACGCTAAATCTGAAAAGACTCAACATATGAGCATATTGAGATAAATGATTCATAAAATAATATGTATAATCTTCAAAATAGCTATACAATTCATTATTTACTAACAACTATTTACAAACAATTAATACAATATATTAATCAATCTGTTCACTACCAAAAAAATTGTTATATTCCAACGAAAAATTCTATGGTAATATATTTTAATGAAAATTTCTACGGATATTCTAATGTCTTAGCTTCTGTTGAAATCATTCCAACAAAAATTCCAACGATAATATTCTGTTGGAATGTATTTTAATTGGAATTGTAGATGGAATGATTTTGTTTTTAAAGTCGTCAACAGAAGGAAAACCTAATTCCAACGGCTATATTTCAAACGACTTTTTATCGTAGGAATTTTCGTTGGAATATGCAATTTCCTTTGGAATTTTTATTACAGCCTCGTTGGAAAATCTATCATTGTAATCATCAAAATACAATAGAAATTCCAATGGAAAACTCATTCCAACCGAATATTTTTGTTAGAATTTTCATTGGAATCTAGTGGAAATTCCAACTGAATAATAGCATTGAACAATATCCATTGAAATTGCCGTTAGAATTCCATTTCATATATTTCCGATAAAATTTCATCATTTGTCGTGGTTTTTACAATACACCATTAGCCAAACATGCCTAAACTTGTTTTAGAAAAAATATATCACATCATTTCTATTTCACCTTCCTAAAGTATGCATAGTTACTCTAATTTTGTACCAAATTTCCAAAATTTTCCGGTGGTCAAGATATATACTTCAAAAAATATTTTCTTTAAATGAATGTAGAGATGTGATGCATAACTGTGCCCGTTAGAATTGGTCAAAGAAGACATTCAAGTCCCCAGTTTGTGCTCATTACGAGCTCTGTCCTTTCAAATTCAAAAAATATTCAAATTCATTCAGTGTTCAATATTTATCGTACAATCAATAAATGAAGTTACTTGAAATACTGCATCAATTGTCATAAATAGTTGTATACGATTAAGATCCCATCTAGACGTGTTCAAAAGCCGGGCCGGTTCACGATCCAGCCCGGCCAAACGTGCCGGGTTGGCAGGCCTCAAATAGACAAATACTGGGCCTTGAACTGGCCCGACTATATCTAAAGGCCGATTAATTGAACTGCCGGTTTTTTTTAAAGTAAAACAAAAATAATAATAAAAAAAACAACTTTGACCCGTATTCCAACCCGAACCGACCCTAAACCGGTTCGCCCGACGGGTAAAAAAGATGAAAAACACGACCTTGAACCGGCCCTTAAGGGGTAAGAGCTCGGTTCAAAAACCGGTTGATCCGGGCTGGGTCAATGGGCCAGTTCGACCCTTGGCCATGTCTAATCCCATCACATAAATCTCCATATACAAGATTATGTGCAACACGGTCTAGTCGTTACACGAGTTGATCTATTTTTTTTTAATACAAAAATACATATTTAAATTATAAAATGAGTTACATTGTTACAATGCAAAATAATTCTAGCATATTTGACAAATGTCAAATTGGTGAAATGACTTCTGATATTGCATAAAATGTTGACAAATCAATTTGATAATAGGTAACTTACAATAAATTTTGAAGCTTGATGTTAATAATTAGAATGTATTTTTATAATTACAAAAATTATGTGACAAAATAAAAGTGTGGCTATCATAATTCACTGAACTTTCCCACTTTTTACATTCAATTATTATTTAGGACCTCAGTATATCTTATATCACATTCTGGATTGTTGTGAAGCATCTAATCTAATGCAATTGTTTGTGAATAAAGTCATTATATTACTGACCAATTTTGTTATGGAACTAACAGTTGGCTCCACAGTGGAATCAACCTCCTATGTAAAAAACATTATATTTTCTAGTTAGTATAAAATACAATTAACAACTACTTAATAAGAAAATACAATTAATAACTACTCAACCACAATGAAAATAAAAGCACTTATATTTTTAAATTTAAATTTGAGAAAAATAAATACTACAAAAAGTTTGTACTGTTTTCAATTATATGTACTACTTTAGTTGTACATATTATTATTAATTCTAATGTTTAACTAAAATGATTCAAATTTTTTTAAATGATTTTAAATATTACAAATATTTTGTAGTATTTATTTTTTCATCAAATTAAAAAATGTAATTATTTTTACTTTTGTTGTCTTTCTTATCAAGTAGTTGTTCATTATATTTTTTTATTTAACTATAAAATATGATATTTTTACTTATTATGTATACGAAGTTGACTTCATTACGGAGCCAATAATTGATTCTATAGCAAAACTCATTACTAGCTCAAATAATTAAATTCATTAAGGACACATAAATCCAACTATCCAAGAAAAATAAAAAGAGAATATTGACTAACGCGGTTTGTGGCTTTGGTACTTGGCAGTGACAACTACGACTCTAGCGAAGACTCTGCTTTAGGGTTGACTTAGAATAAATATATTAGGACTATTAAATTTCCCAAGAAAATTATGTTTTTTTTTCCTACACCTATTTATTTATTCTTGCGAAATTCCTCAAAGACAGTATGTCGTCATTCTCATTCAATTTCCTTTCACATACACAAATTCTTCTATGAGTAGATCGAACAATTAAACGAGACAACCCAAATAAATTGATAACAAAAATTTAAATTTATGTTATAAATGTCATAATTTTATTTATAGCATATATTCCGTATTTCTTAAAGCGTGCAATTTCAATTTAAGTATATAAATAGTTTAACTGTTAGATACTTCGTAACACAATTTAATGTCACAAGAACAAGCATACGCGTGACAAATGGAGCACGATTGGATAGGAGATTAAAAAAAAAAATTGTCTTGTTCGAGAAAATGAGGCCTGCTAACAATTAGATCGCGATTCACCTCGAAGTCACATTATGTTAGATATTCTCATTCAATTTCCCAATCTATATATATATTTTTCACATTCTCATTGGATTAGTACAATTTCTTGTGTGAGAGTTGAGACTTGCTAAGTAAGTATAGTGCGATTGGCCTAAAGTCACATTATTTCGACATTATCATTCAATCTTTTAATCAAAATTTCCCTTCACATTTTAATAAAATTAACGAAAATTCTCATGTGAGACTTGATCACAGTTACACGAGTTGATCAATTATACTTTTTTTAATAGAAATATATTTATATTATAAAACATCATACATCTAAATTCAAAAGTATATACATATATATACACACTTAAGTTGGTCAATGTCAATGTCCTCATTATGTCTTCATGATCGACGTAGTAATAATACTAAAAGAATAAAACAATTAATTAGATCCATAAATAGTACCAAACCCCAATAAAAAAAAGCCAATCTCAAATCCCGCAAATCACTTCTCAAAGCTTAACAAACTCTCCCCAAAGAAAAAGAGAGAAAAGCACAAAAAATCAATGATCCAGAATCTCGATTTTCCGGTGGGTCGGGCCTGTCGGCACCTCCTCTGCGCCGCCCTGCTCCTCCTCCTCCTCCCGCCACCCCCCGCCGCCGCCTCCGGAAATTGCACGTGTGAGCCAGAGGCCGCGGAGTACCGGGACAAATCCCTCGCCACCAAGTACAAGGCCGCGGCGATCGCCTCCATCCTGGCGGCGGGGGCCGCCGGCGTATGCCTCCCGGTGGTCGGGAAGCGGGTCCCGTCGCTGAGCCCAGAGAGGAACATGTTCTTCGTGGTGAAGGCCTTCGCCGCCGGCGTCATCCTGGCGACGGGGTTCATCCACGTGCTGCCGGACGCCTTCGATAGCCTGACCTCGCCGCACCTGACCGGCCCGTGGGGGGATTTCCCGTTCGCCGGGTTCGTCGCCATGCTGGCGGCCGTCGGGACGCTGATGGTGGACACGTACGCCACGTCGTACTACCGGCGGCGGATGGCGAGGAAGACGGAAGCCGTGGGAGGGGGAGGTGACTGCAAGGAGCTTCCGGTGCACACGCACGCCGGCCACGGCCACGCGCACGGGGCGGCGGCAATGGAAGCCGGCGGCGAGGGCGAGCTCCTCCGTCACCGTGTGATTTCCCAGGTAATTAATTAATTATTGATTTATTAAAAGAAAAAATAAATAATTTAATTAACATAAAATTCTATGTATGTTGAATGTTGATGTAATATAATTAATGTGTGACTTATTGTTAATTATATCAAAATTATATGCATTCAATGTTCTTCATGGTCGTCCTAAATAAAAATCAACATTTTAATGTGAAAAAAATATGTACTCAATTTCAACTTTATATACAATTATTAGGATTGAGAATGACACTTCATGATATGTCAAATGGATATATTATACTTAATTTTTTTAATTAAAAAACAAAATAGTGTTTAGCTGAAAAATGTTACTTTAATATAAATGACTAACATAACAAAATAACACAAAATAACATGCTTATATAAGAATTTGTGTTATATAAAATGATTGCATATGTTTGGCGAATTCACAAGGACACAAATTCTTGTCTAGTAACAATGCTCTTTTAGAGCACTCACAATGTTTTGAGTCTCTTTTTGCATATGTATCAAATAAATAGACTTAAGCTTATAATGATATGTACAAACCCAAACTAAAAAATCCAAAATCTATTCAATGGAAAAAGAAAAAAGTACTAAGTCTAAAATACCAAACAACCAATAAAAATATAATAATAGTAAATGATTACTATTGTAAGGTTCACACTTGGGTCCAAAATAGACCCAAAAGTGGACTGTCTCTCTTTTTTTCATTGCCACATAAGTTAGACTAAGTCCACTTTTAATTGCATTGTGAAACATTTTTTTATAGACTATGTCTATTTCTTACATAGCATGTAATTTTTTGTTAAGAGACCTAAAGCATTGTGGGTGCTCTTAGGCAGCTAATTATACTTTTTAGCATACTAGTAAAGTGCACGTGCGATGCACGTGGTATCGAATGATTTTTGCTGAGTAAGTTTATAAAATGAATTAATCTATTTATTAAACATATCATTGCAGGAATCAAATAAAATATAGAACAAATGAATTCATATGTGATTTTTTTTATTTAGAATTAGCGTAATGATGTCCAAATATAAAAAGAGTGAAAACGTTTTACAACCTCCAACTAAAATATATAAAAAACAAATCCTTAATACAAAAACCACTAAAATTTTCTTTCATCTTTCTTGTAAGAAAACATTCATACTCGCTGAAGTCTAATACATCAATACTATTGCAAAATTTCTCTTAATTCATTTGGCAAAACGTTAATTTTATTCAAACACTTAAGAAATATTCTGACCAAATATATAGTCAAACTTCATGGTCGTATAATCTTTATAATAAGGTACTTCTACTAACAATGCATAAATATCTCTATAAAATAACTAACTATGTCATTAAAATTGCTGGTATTTTTTATCATTGTATAAACTACTACATTCCTCTGTCTCTAGACATATTGGTGCCTACCCCATTGATGCATCGCCCCACGAGGTGGGAATGAATTTTATCTCCAAATAAAAGTTGACTTTCCAAAATTTTGGTTGCATATTTCTAAAATTTTGGTTACATGTACTTCTCCCGAGGTACTAAATTATTTTTTGAAATCATCATACATTACTTGAAAGTACCTCTAAAGTAATTGCACATATGTTCGAGTACAATATACCGATGAGATTATAATATTTCTATAAAAAGTGACAATTTCATTCGAACATTCAAAATTGTTTTGATACTCCGACATTGTTGTTTATTTGGAATATAGACGAACAATATAATCTATTATTTGAAAATTATTGACCATCATGGTTGTTGCAATGATTTTAGAATTGTTTATCATAATATCTTTCACATTCGTTTAAATATGCAATATTTGTGTGCCTAATAACTTCTTTAATGCTTTTATTGTCCAACATTATTCATCATACAAAATGATTATAAAATTCAAGATAAAGATCAGTTCTTTATTCTCCAACAATGACAAAACAAAACAATCAAAACAATGAGAAAATATTGAGAAGCATATCATTTGTTAAAATATTTGATAGGAGAAGAGTTAGAATTCTATTATATTATGATACTCTTAGTCATCTGCAAAGTTTATTATTATGGAGTCATGATTAAAATATACATTATGTATTACAAATTTTTGGATTTTTTAATTATTTAAAATTAAAAATAAATAATATAGGATCATTATTTATGAAAATCAATTTCTTACAAAGTCCCTATATTTAAACGCTAGCAATAAAAAAGTAGTAGTTTTCAAAGACTTTTTGTTCGTAAATATTAGTATTCATACTTCTCTAAGAAAATTCACACGTATTCTTTTTCTCATTGTGTTACTATTATATTATTTGTTTCTTATTCTGTAGACAAATAATATTTTGTTTGCTAAATAATTAAAGCACATTTATATGTATTGCGTTATTTTTTGTATGTGTTTTATATAATGATGTTTTCAAATTATTTTTTTATTAGGCTGCAACTACTATAATCACATAAGATATAATGTAAATTTAATATATTTGATAAAAATGTACTTTTTATACGAATCATATCAAAATTTTCATAATAATAGTTGCACACAATATTATATATAATGCAATTTTTTTTTATTTATTTTTTTAATATAGATTTGGAGTCCTACTTTTACTACAAGAAAATGAGAAAATTTCAACGAAAATTACAACAAGAATATAACGATCTTCTTAAGTTGAATTGAGAAAAATCATGTTTTTTGGTTTCTTAAATATATTTTATTTTATTGTGACTGTATTGATTTATTAAAATGTATTACAAAATGAGAAAGGTGATAGATTAATTTATAAATTACCATGACATGTTATTTTGATGGTATATTTTTTCTATTAACTAAATAATGCCACCAATATGAAATTATTTTAGATTTATCACTGCAATTAGCTTTTCAATGGAATTTCCATTGAATTTTTGCACAATTCCAATGACAGTTTTTCCAACGATTGAAATATGGTCCAAAAAAAATCCAATGGAAATTCAAGTAATTAAAATCTTTAAATCCACTAAAGTTCAAGTAATTTAATTTGAACTTTGTTGGAATAGCTAATAAAATTTTCCAATGAAAGCAATATAGAAATTTGTTGTAGTCCTCTTAAACATTAAATTTTATGTAGTATTTATTGATTAATTGTGTTTATAATTTTTCTATTAAAAATATATTAAACACATGAACTTTTTAGTTCCTATATATTTTTTTTTTCAGAATCACTCATTATTTTATCTCAAGATTACCTATTAATTTACCAATTGAGTTATATTTCTTACATATTAAATATTTAAATATTAGAATATTTCCTATTTTATATGTTCAATATGATATTTATACATTATATTACAAAAAAACTAATATAGCAAATAAAAAATTATTTAAAATTAGAATAATAAAGATTTTTTTTTTTTGTAACTTACATTGATAAATGTACAAATAACTATTGTCTATCACATCAAATTTACACACAAAATTATAAGGAGAAAAAACTAACATTAACAACTCAGCTCGTTTACGTCGATAAGTATATTTATAAAAGGTTTATATTTCTTCTATTAATTATAACATTTTTATTTATTACTTTGTTTCATATTTATTAGTACGTGTCACAACTTATTTATTTTTAATATTATTTATCATATTTAATATTTTTTTTAAAACTCTTATCTTGTTCTTTTACATGTTCTTAACTGTAGATTTGTCAAAAAATGCATGATAAAGTCTAGAATTGTTTCGACCATCTGTCTCATTATATTTCAATTATTTGTATATCTTATATTATATTATATTCCATTACAATTTTTTTTTAATTTATACTAAAACTAAATATTTATAATTCATAAATTCATCAATAATATTGTCGAGTCAACTTTTGTTCATAAAATTTTAAAAAACATAATTATTTACAATTATTTGCTTATGTCGATAAATACAAATTTAAAAGTTCTACAAATACTTTTACTAATTATAATATTTTTATTTATTACTTTTTTTCATAGTTATTAGTAAGTATTACAACTTAGTTATAAATTTAATATTATTTATTAGAGTTATTGTTTTTTTAACTTTAAACTGTTCTTTCATATGTATTTTAATATATATGTGTGTGTGTGTATAACTTTTAGGTTTGTTAAAAAATACATAAAATTAAAGTATAGCACTTTTTTGAATCATATGTCTTATTTATATCAATTAATTTTATATCTGTATATTATATTATATATAATTATAATCTTCTCATTTATATTCAAATATATAAATTTTTTATTTCGTATATTTTTTTTTAAAAATTATTTTATTATAATAACACATATTAATAGATAGATGAGTAATGATAATATATGAATATAATATTTGATTAAAATAATTAATTTTCAACATGTAAATCATATTATGATTCTCGAGATATTTTTAATTTATTTGTAGATAATTATATGGTTAAATTAATCCATGTTGCTAAAGTGGTATCTCATATGACGTGAAAACAAATAGATTAAGTTTTAGTATTATATAATTTCATAAAATTATTCTGGTCTTATGTATCGAAGAAATTGAATTGATTAGAAGTTTAGGTTGCAGAACAATCATTCAACAATTAATCTCGCATACTATTACACATTTTGTATAGGTTATTTTGAAAATAATGTTTCTATACTTTGTGGTCGTTATGAGAAAAAAACAATATCGATTTCTAGTTTTATAAGTGTTTATTATGCTTTTTTTGTTAGATCAATTTTAATTTCTTTAAGGAACTTTTATATATTAGAGTTATGAAATGTGAGTGCAATATTACTATTAAAATTATATGAAAAAGGATGACATTTTTTAAAACAACAATTCTATATCCTATCAAACAGTTTTAGAGATATGTGGAAGAAAACAAATTCGTGAGAAATAATGGTGTTAAACCAACATATTGATTTTAATAGTGTGGAATGATTTGTTCATGTATTTGTATTTAATTAATTAAATATTAGTTATAATTAAAAATATAAGATATGATGGACATTAGTATATTACTAATTTGCCATTAAAACCATGTCAAAGTAAGGGTTTATTAGGTAATTCATTCTAATATTTAAAAATATAAAATATGATGTGTATTAGTGTATTACTAATTTGGCATTAAAAATATGTCAAAGTAAGGGTTTTTAGGTAGTTCATATTTTTACAAAAACACTCGTTCTTTTAGAGTAGTATAGATATAGATAGATAGATATAGATATAGATAGATATAGATAGATAGATATAGATAGATAGATAGATATAGATATAGATATGTACACTTTTAAATTGAATTATCACTCTTAAAAACAACATAAACAAACAAATATATGACATTTAATTTGTATAATAAGTCTGATTTTTTATTAAAAATTTATGAAAAATCGACCCGTAGAAGAGTACTTGGACCGACTCACAAGAAGAATTTGTGATTAATGCAATTCACTTGAGAAAAAAATATGTGCGGTCAACTAATGTACCAATTTTTATTTCATTTTCAAATAATTAATTTCAAACTTACTCACATGATACCAACCAAGAAAAAGTCCTGTTCAATTGTGAATAACATGTTGTCAAATGCATTTAACTCAAATTTAATGCATGACTTTGTAGAGTGCAGTTATGAATTAATTGTCTGTCATGATAATATGTTGTTAATTACTTATTTATTTAATTTAATGTTTTTTTAATTTTTTATTTTTTTATGACAGGTGTTGGAGCTGGGAATCATAGTCCACTCTGTGATAATTGGTGTTGCTTTGGGTGCTTCTGAAAATCCTAAAACAATAAGGCCTCTAATTGCTGCTTTGACCTTTCACCAGTTCTTTGAAGGTCTAGGGCTTGGAGGATGCATAGCTCAGGTACACAAAACTACAATCACAAATTTAATTTAATCTCTTAAGGATGTATTTAAATAATGTTATGTGTATTAATTAATTAAGGTTTTTGCTTAGTTCTTATGATGTTTACTAGTAATTTTATTCTTAAGAATATTTGTTTTTGAAAAAGACATTGGGACACATAGAAGTGGCACTAAAATATAAGGTAAATTTTTTGGAAGTGTCCCATAATTTACAAGTGGCACTAAAATATAAGGTTAATTTTGTAGAAGTGTCCCTTAATTTTAGGTGTATCAAAATTAGTTTTATTCAAATTCAAATAGTTAAAAGTTTTTCCATAACTAACTCATTAGTCTTGTAATTTATAAAAAAATAATCAGTCTAAGGATAAGTTTCAACGAAAAACTAAATTTTAGCTAGAAATATAATGAGAACCTGGGCATGATGTGTACTGAAAGTCTTATTTCCAACAACAAACTGACTAGTTTGGATAAAAACTAAATTTTTGTGGCAAAATTTAATGGCAAACATGTGCATGATGTGTCAATTTTCGTTCCCCGAAAACTTTTTAAAATTTATTTATCTTAAAATATACAAAGGCTACTATTGGATATTGATGAAATGTGTTTCAATACCTCAATTGAAATAGTCAATTGCGTTATGAGGCGGGCCCTACTCAACATAAACAAAAACCTTTGACATAACCCGGCCGGGGGCTGTGGCTGGATTCAAACATTAATGTTACAAAATATCTGATAGTATATAGCTAGAGCTGTAATTGTAAACGAGCCGAGTCGAGCTCCAGTATCAAGAACTCGAGTTCAGCTCGGGTCAAGTTGTTTACACCCTTAATTAGCAATGTTCATGCTTGAGTATTACATGAACAACAAAGAATATATAGCTAATAACACGAATCGACGAGTTTCTATCTAAAATACCAACTTAATTAAATAATAAACGAAATTCACCACTTATCGTATCTTTTCGTAGGCGAAATTCAATGTGCGTTCGGTGGTAATGATGACGCTTTTCTTCTCGATAACGACGCCTGCGGGTATCGCCATAGGCATCGGCGTAAGCAACATGTACAACGAGGAAAACCCGAAGGCACTCATAGTCGAGGGGGTTTTCAATTCGGCTTCGGCAGGAATTCTCATCTACATGGCCCTTGTGGATCTTCTTGCTGCTGATTTTATGAACCCTAAATTGCAAAACAATGGGAAACTGCAAATGTTGGTTAATGCCTCACTTCTCTTTGGGGCTGGCTGCATGTCTCTTTTGGCCAAGTGGGCTTAATTTTGGTGACCTATATTTGGGCTTGCATGTCCATCATATAATATGGTTAATAACTATATATGTATATCCTTTTTTTTCANTATTATGGGTTGGTTACAAGAAGAATTGTGAGGAGTGTGGTTTGACATTCTTGTTTAGCAGGGGCGTAGCCAGGATTCAAACTTTACTTAGGCTATAATTATTTTACTTAAATATGACAAAATTGCAAATAGACATGTTCAAGGTTTATAAACGAGCAGCCAAAGAGGCAGTTCGAACAACCGATCAATGGTTCGGTTGACCGTTGACTGTAGTTTCTATTCTAGCGGTCCGGTTACGGATTGCAAAATGTCAGAATCGCCTAAAGGTTTGGTTGTCAGATAGAAAAAAAAAATGAAATTTTTGGGGAGGGAATAAAAAAAAAATCAAAGGTTAATGATTTCTCAAAATTCAAGTAGAGAACTGTATTTTTTTGGAAAAGACACACTTTTTAAAAAAATCGATAGTTTTTAAAGAATTTTTCAATTTTTAACATTAGAATAATAATTGAAACACAATGTTTCCAATCGAAAATCAGTAGTTCAAATCGGATCGTAACAGATACTTTTTAAAGCAACATGTCAGCTTAATATATAATAATAACCTAGATATATACTTTTTAAGAACATCTAAAATTTAGTNAAAAAAGGCATTAAAATCGGGTCCATGGACTGTTATTTTGGGCTTTTCATTTGAAAGCGTATGTTTACTAATTACTAGACTGATTAGAATTGTCTATGGTAAGGAATGAAAACAAGCTCTGTTTGGCTCTCCATTTTTTAAAATTCTTTTATTATTTGGTTCTTCTTTCTTTGAAAAGATGTGATTATCACACAGTATACTAGTTTGAAGAAACACAAGTGACTTGATTAGGTATTAATAGTGCTTATAATTGAAAATCTAGGGTGCCAAGAAATGCACTGAGGACACTGCTTTGTTGTGGTTGTCTATACTACTCTAAAAGGATGAGTGTTTTTGTAAAAATATGAACTACCTAAAATAACCTTACTTTGACATATTTTTAATGGCAAATTAGTAATACACTAATACATATTTTATTTTATATTTTTAATTAAAAAAATAAATTACCTAAAAAACTCTTACTTTAACATGTTTTTAATGGTAAATTAGTAATACACTAATACATATCATATCTTATATTTTTAATTAATAACTAATGCTTAATTAATAAAATACAAATACATGAACAATACATTTCACATTTTCTAAAAATCAAACAAAATATTCACGCACCATTATTTCTCACAAAATTGTTTTCTTCCACATATCTCCCAAAAATCAACCCAACGTCAACCTAAACAACAAAGCTTTGAAAAAATCCTTCGTTTTAATATAATATTATACATTATCTGACAAACTATAAAAGTTGAACAATTCATTAAACTATTTCATAATTTAAGAAAAGTAAACTCTTATATTTAGAATTAGAATAGAAATTGCACTTTAGTTTTACTGGATTGAATTTCGATCCCACAAAAATCGTCATTTGGTTGTTTGTTTGTTTTTTCCAATTTTAGTCACAAAGTGAATAAAATTAACGAATTTTCACTTGACCATTAGATGGTTAATATCAAGGTGAGTAATATTTTAATTATTAACACTTAAAATATATGGATTTTACATTCAATAATTAAGTAAAATATCATGATATTTTAATTATTATTATTTTATTTGAGCCATTGATTTTCAAGATGTGTGCTAAATAAAAGAACAATATGCAAGTAAAAAAATATTAAATCTGATGAATAACATTAAAAATATAATTAAGGTGTAAGACTTACTAATAAATATGAAAACAAATAATAAATAAAAATTTTATAACTAATAAAAGTAAACATAAAACTTTTAAAACTTATACTTATCGATGTAAATGAATCGAATTGTTTATTTTTTTTTAATTTTTTGTGCTTATTAGTTCTATGTGTAAGTTTTAGGTAATAGATAATGGTTATTTGTACTTTTATCCATGTAGGTTGAAATTTTAATATTTAAAAAAGTAATTATTTAAATTTTAAATAACTTTTTATTTGCTATTAGTTTTTTAATATAATATATAAATATTATATTACAATATAAAATAATAATTATTTTTGTATTTAATATTAATACGTAAAAGGTTGTAATTGAATTGAGAAATTAATAGGTAATCTTGCTTTAAAATAACTAGTGATTTCCATAATGTTATATGGACTAAAAAATTCATGTGCTTAATATATTTTTAATAAAAGAAATTGTAAACGAAATTAATTAATAGAAAAACTATAACATAAAAATTTTAATATTTAAAAAGAAATGCAAAAAATAAAATGCTATATTGCAATGAAAAATCGAACGATAAGGTGTTCCACTAAAAATTCCAAAGGGACATTTCATTTGCATAGCTTTCATTGGAAAATATCACTGGCTATTCCAACATAGATCAAATCAAATTATAATGGAATTTTAGTGGATTTAATTATTCGAATTACCATTATTTATTTTCTTGCGTGAATTCATTTGATTTTTCTTTCGGAACATATTTCTACGTTGGAAATTTTTTTTATTGGAATTATAAAAAATTCAATGAAAGTTGCATTGGAAAGCTAATTGTAGTGTTAGATACAGACAATTTCATATTGGAGGCACTATTTAGCTAATAGAAAAAATATATCATCAAAATAACATAATGTCATTACAATATATAAATTATACTTTTCATAATTTGTCATCTTTCTCATTTGTAATACATGTTTAGCAAATCTATACAGTTACAAAGTTAAAAGTATTTAAAAAAAACATAATTTTTCTCAACTAAAATTAAGCAAATCATTGAAAATAATATATATTTTAAAATCCGATGAACAAAAAATCTATGTTATAGTATAGATGACTCGACACTATTATTGATTAATTTATAAGTTATGACTAATTGATTATAATATTAGTGAGAAAATTGTAATTGTATATAATATAATATTAAAATATACAACTTAAAAGTATCTTATAAAATAAATTATAGATCCATGTTAACTCAATTTTATTAATTAATAAATAAGATTAGATAAACTTGTAGTATATTTTTCTTACATAGATTTGAAATATTCATACTAAGAAAAAAGTCCAAATAGATGTAAACGTACAACGATTACCATCATTAATTATGTGAATTAAAAGAAAAAATAAATGAGTTGTATGTTAAACTGTAGCAGTTGTAAAATATATTTTTTGTGAATATGATAATGAGTTGGTTACTTAATATTTTATCAAACAATGGAAAAAAAATTCAAACTTTTTAATCTTACAAACAATATAAAAGTACATTTTTATCAAATATATTATTACACGTAAAAAAAAAAAGCAATGCATATAAATGTGCTCTAATTCTTTCAATAAATAAAATATTATTTGTGAATAAAATAAAAATCAAATAAAGCAACTGTAATGCAATAGAAAAAAGAAAAAGTCTGAATTTTTTTAGAAAAGTATGGATACAAATATCAAGAAACGGAAATATTTTAAAATTACTACTTTTTTGTTGCTAACATTTAAATATATATTATCTATAAGAAATTGGTTCTCATAAATAATGATTCCATATTATCATATTAGAAGATAAACTTCAATAATGACTTCATAAAAACATAACATTGGAATGAGACATTAGCAAAAATTTCGCTCTCTACAAACCCTCGGCCCTAAATTCCTCCCCGCTCGTCTCCTCCAATTGACAGCAGTCGGCCTTCCATAGTAGCCACCGAGCTTCGCCGGCGGTCGCCGGCCCTTGGCCGTTTGGCTCCTGTCCCCAATTTTCCGCTCTGCTGTCCGTCTTCCATGGAGGTCGGCCTCGCCTGTTGATAAGTCGAAAATATGTGTTTCTATTATAGTAAAATATTGAGTTTGTATTGGATATTTGTGCTTAAGTGACGTGTTTTCGACTTTATAATATGTCTTCGAGTAGAATCTACCATTGTTGATATTTTGATGCAGTTAGATCATATGAGCTCGACTAGGTGCACATATAACCAACATGGCAGCGCTGATATTTGTAGAACATGGCCATGTCAGTATACACGGAGGTGCACAGCGTATCAATTCTTAACATGGGCCTGTTCACACTAAGCCCAATAGCAATAATAAGAGTCCAGCCGTAATTAAAAGGAAGCAGATCAGATTTTGAAGACCTACACTGCACGTACAACAGCCGCAAGGAGCAACAGAAGGGATCTTCACGAACATCAACTCTCTCCTCTCTTTTCTTCACTATATTTCTTTTTCTTTTCTCTTGGATCATGGAAGCCCTGCGCGGCTAATTCTCGTTTGCTACGGTTGAATACGATTGAAACCCCGAACTTAATACTGTGAGATCTAATTAGTTTTTATCTATTAATTCATATTTCGTATTAATTATTTTGTGTGTTTATGTTTATGATTTTGTGTTAGGATCGTAGCCTGATCAACTATTGTCTTGTGCACTTAATCTATTGCTTGGTAGATATTGAGTCAGATTTAGATAATTTATCTATCGTAAGAAGCAACTGAGTGTGGTGATTGACCGGATTTAGGCGTTATCATTCTTAGGCAAAATAGTTATACAAGTTAGCATTTGACGGATTAGTTATTTGTTGCTTGTGTTGTCGGGCTCTACTTCTTAATGCTATTGCTAGGATAATTTTACACGATGTTGGGAATTGCTTAGTAATAAGGGTTGTGTAGAAGGATTTATTTTGCATAGCCAATTTAGGAGTCAGAATTCATCATTCAACGGCATCTACGTATTTATGAGTTGATAATATTTGCATCGAGGATCAGTAGAATAATTCGGGGTGGAAATCAGTTCAACCGGAGCACTTTGGTAATATTTTTCATCTTCATCTTGTTGCTTGCGAATCTCTTGTTCAAGAATTGTTAACTATTGCTTTCTTTATTTTCTTGTTAATTAGATAATTAGGATTAAAAACCAATTCTCCCCCATTTTAATCACATAATTAAAGTCATTTGATTAAATCATTCCCCGTGGATACGATCCTTGCTCACGCTACTACATATTGTTAAGCAAGGTTAATTTGGGTGCCTACGACAGCACGACCAATTTTTGGCGCCGTTGCCGGGGAATTATTTTAATTAAATCTTTGCTTGTGTGATATTATTATTAATATTATTATTATTATTATTATTATT